GCCAGGAGGTATTGCTCCACATCTACCAGCTCCTTAAGCTGTGTGAGGAACCATTTGTCAATGAAACTCAAGTCATGAATATCATCGACCTTCATACCCCTCTTCATTGCAGCATATACGGCATGGATGCGGTCTGGGTTAGGGACTCGGAGGCTATACTTCAATTGTTCCCAATCCCAGTCAAGCTCCTTAATTTTAGCACAGCCCCATCCAGAGAAACCACATTCCAAAGATCGAACTGCTTTCTGAAACGACTCTTGAAATGTGCGACCCAGTGCCATTGACTCACCAACAGATTTCATTTGTGTAGTCAATATTGGTAGTGAACCTGGAAATTTTTCAAATGCAAACCTGGGAATCTGCACAATTCAATACAACGAGAACAAATAAGAAATGACATACAAACCAGGTCTAAAAGTGCACGGGATAACAGAAACATACTGCTATCAATGAAATGAACAACGACAATAATTGATGACCTTCCTCCATGCATAAGTAATCGTGATTTAGTAAAGTATCCAGGAAGCTGATGGACAATGATTATCTAACATTATAAAAAAAAGCTAAAGCCCCGTCTAAGGTCTAACCATCACATCGTTGCTAACATGTGACTAAACAAGTATAAAGCACAACGTGTTTATCAGAGTGTTTAATTAGAGTGCGATGTAAAGGGTAATGAAAAAGCACTTGCCTTGGTCACTACATAATCTATGGAAGGCTCAAAGCTAGCCGGGGTTTTCTTTGTAATGTCATTAGGTATCTGATCCAAGGAATACCCAACCGACAACTTGGCAGCCATTTTCGCAATGGGAAAACCAGTAGCTTTGGATGCCAAAGCCGAGGACCGAGACACCCTCGGGTTCATCTCAATCACCATAACCTCACCATCGACAGGATTAACCGCAAACTGCACATTGGAACCGCCACATTCCACTCCAATCTCCCTTATGATAGCAATGGAATAGTCCCTCAGCCGCTGATACTCCTTATCCGTCAAAGTCTGAGCCGGGGCCACAGTGATCGAATCCCCTGTATGAACCCCCATTGGATCAATATTCTCAATGGAACATATAATCACTACATTGTCAGCCAAGTCCCTCATCACCTCAAGCTCATACTCCTTCCATCCCAACAATGACTTCTCAACCAAAACCTGAGACGTCACACTAGCCGCAATCCCCGCCTTACAAATGTCCTCAAATTCTTCTCTGTTATAAGCAATGCCACCTCCGGTTCCTCCCAAAGTAAACGCCGGCCTGATAATCAACGGAAACTCCCCAATCTCATTCGCAATTTTGATACATTCCTCCAAAGTAGTCGCAATCCCAGATGGCGGCGTCTTGACACCTATGTTCTTCATGGCCTGCTTGAACAAGTCCCTGTCCTCTGCTTTCTTGATGGCATCCAGCTTCGCTCCGATCAATTCGACCCCGTATTTGGCCAAAGCCCCGCTCTCGGCCAGTGCCACGGCCAAATTCAGCGCCGTCTGGCCTCCCATTGTTGGCAACAGAGCGTCAGGCCGCTCCTTCTCGAGCACCTGCTCAACCAGCTCGGGAGTCATGGGCGTAATGTAAGTCTTGTCGGCCAAGTCCGGGTCGGTCATGATCGTGGCCGGGTTGGAATTGATCAAAACGACCTCGTATCCGTCCTCCTTCAGCGCCTTGCACGCCTGAGTCCCCGAGTAATCGAACTCGCAAGCTTGTCCAATCACAATCGGCCCGGCTCCGAGAATCATGATCTTCTTAATGTCCGTCCTCTTCCCCAGCTTCGGCGCCGCTCCTTCCTTCGCCGCAGCAGCTCCGCCATTACCCGAGTCGCACTGGACCGAGTTGACTCGGTGACTCGTACGGTTGGGGAAAGTGGCAAACAGCGACGGAGATGATCGGAGGCGGAGAGTGGGGGAGGATGAGCTTCGCGCTCCGAATTTCTTGGAGTAGAGGACGAAGCGGAAGCTGTTTGGTTTCGACGAATAGAGCTTGGAGTTGCCGAAAATTGAGAGCTTCGAGGAGAGAACCTCGCTGTGGCTGAGGCAACGGTCCATTTCTGTTGCGGGAAATGGAGACTGTCACGGAGGAGGGTGAGAGATTAGAGAGAGAAAGAGGAGAGAGGAGAGAGATGGAGATTTGGGGACTAGGGTTTAGGGAGGTTTAGAGGATATCCAGTTTTGTGCTGTTGGAAGTGTATGTCAGTGAGTGAGTGGGGTTTTGGGAGTGTTTGTTTTTAGCTGGTGGGGAAAGGAAAAGGATCTCCTCCGCATCATCTTTGTCGGGATTCGAGGTCAAGCAATTATCATCATTCATTGTATATTGTATGATTAATTTTTGCTAATTATTTATATTTAATTTAAAATTTAAAATAATTTTTAATTACATAATATACTATAAACGATTGTGATTATTTGATTTTTTGGATTCCCACAAAAAGATACGGTGAGGATCCTTTTTCGTCGGGAAAGGTAATGCAACAGTACAGGGTGGCGACGCCGTACTGTGCAACTAAGATTTTAGGGTTTTTGTTTTGTCAAATCATATTAAATGTTTTGTTTTAATTTTTAACTTTTATTGGATTAGGGCTTTCAACGACTCAGCCCATAATCAAACGCTAAGGACGAACATATGGAGAACGTTTTTATTACGATTGTGACTAAACCGTTATTAATTTATGCGTTACAATATAAATTTGAAAAAACATTTGTTTTTTGTTAAAAATTTGACAAAACATTTGGAGATAGCTAATACTTTATTAACATAGACAATGACTTTCATAAGTACACACTCCTACAATTGTATCCTAACAAAGAGTTGCTTATGTACAATTTGGAATTGGGTATCCAAGCTCATACCCGAAATCGAAAGTTTTTATTTTCCATAACGGCTATTATTCATAAAGAAAGACAAATACATCATACTTATGTGATGATCATGATGTAAAAGAGAGACATAAATGGTAAAGTGCATCTTAATCACGTGATAAACGTGATGAGAGAAAAAGACACAATAAGAGAGATACAACCGTTACAAGACAAATTATCCCCTCAAGAATGACATGCCCCATGATAGACAAATGGCACACATAAACCTGTCATCCTTCAAATTTCAAACAGTAAATCCCAAACTACAACCAACTCTACAAAAATTAAAAGATGCAATAAATTTATTAACCGTGATTTAACTTTTACAATATTGTGGTCATTCATGAGAGAAAAACCTATCTATCTATTATTGTGTACAATATACGCATCTCTTTGTTTTTTACCACTAGTCACATAATGACCATGCGACGAGAGAGATTGAGAGATAGCAACATATTAACATGGGAGTTCCTCTCCATCCATGGATCATTTAAAGCACAAATTTTTAAATCTTCCAACATGCAAAATTTTCACCATAGGAGAAACAATAGAAAAACAGTTAAGATCTTTCTAGTTTTGTTTAACTTAAATTTTCGCAAAACATTCAGACGTTCTATTATTTCATATCGTGTTACCATTATATCAAGTTAGCCTTAAAAAATCGTGAACTTGGTTGATGTGAAACTGGCATTTTTCTCGAAACTTGACATTTTCTCTCTTTCGACTTCAATTCCACGAGATCCAAGTAAATTATTCTCCAGATCGGCTTGACAATATTGGATAGTTTGAGACTTAAAATGAAAGCAATGGTAGAAAAGTCAGGCAGTTGCAAGTTCATTGGGAAAAATGAGATTTTCATCAAAGCATACGAGGGATATAAACAAAAAACTTTTAAAGTTTAAGTATCCTTCATTATTCCTTTTGATTGTATAACCGTCAAATTAACTTTCATTTCTATTACTTATATGAATCAAGCACCCTGAGTTTAATTCTTATAACATTATTTTTCTAATGATGTGAGTTTGATAGATATTAGTTCTACGGTGCGTGGTAGCAAAGGTCCTTGAATTGTACTTCACGTTTAGTTTTCGTTCTTGAACTCTCATATTAGTTTCTCACATTTTCCAACTTAACTTTGCATTGCATGACTGGTACATACGTCAAATATGTCTTCTTTTTCGTCAAAGTTAAGGGAACAATGGTCTTTTCATACTAAAAATATAGTTTTTTTTTTATTTTTTTTAAAGTGCTTGGCTCCTCAAAGTTAAGGAGGATTTAGTCCTCAAAATACTTCATAGCCTATCCACAGAATATGGTGCTTATGACCAGAACAATTTATATTATAAATATCAATGTAAAGATTACTTCTACAAAAAATCAATTTTATAAAATCGTTTAGCCAAAGAAAAAAAATCAAACTTTGAGGCCAAATTGAACAAACAAACCTGCAAACAATGATTTGGTTAGGATCTATTTCGCCCATAGTTTTAGTGAAAATTGAACAAGATCGATCCGTTATATCATTAGCTTGACTGCGATTTGATTGTGAAATCGATTTAAACCAGAACGCACCCTCCTCTAGGACTCATATCTCATCACTTAACAAAGCAGATAATCAAAGATAAAACTCCTTAAATCTAAGGAAATCTTTCCCCTTAGCGGAGGATGACCATTTGATGAGGCCAAATTGCAATCTAAGACAAATTAGCAAGAAGCAATGACAGATTTAGGTGGAGCACAATGAAGCATAACAAATCTTTCCCCTTAATAATGTATTATGCATGTGACAACACTGCCGGATAATTAGGGATTTAATATAAACAAAAAAATTAAAGCAAATCCTTCTTGTGGTTGCCGTTCCCCTAATCTTTCATCTCTCTCTAATTTCCTTCAAGAAAAGAAAATCCCAAAAAAAATAAAATGGAAAATACAACCGGCTTGAACGATGCAATGTGGTGTCATTGTCAACTAAACAAAAATAAAAGAAAATAAAATAAAAAAATATACTATTTCTATTTTCTTACGGAGGAAACGACGTCGTCTTAGCGGCAAAACGCGTGTATAGGAACTCCAAAAAAGTGTTAACCCAAAATAAAATAAAATAAAAACCCCCTCAAAAGTCAGAAGGGACTCGCATCTACTCTTCCAACGTTCATTGGCTCCGTCTCCTGGCTCGACTCACGCTAAAATGCGCTGGGGGTTGAGCTGGTGACGACGTGACGTGCCTTTTTATTACAACGCCAACGGTATAAAGAAGCGAAGACTCTCTAATTTCCCTGCACTTGGCAAGAACAGAAAGATATTTTCTTCAATCCTGCTTGCTCAAATAATCCTCCGACTTCTGGGTTGAATTCTGCTTCTGCTTCTGCCTCTGCCTCTGCTTTTTGGTTCAAAATCTGCTTCTGCTTTCTGGGTTCTGTCTGTTTTGTGCCACATTTGAAGCTGGGGATCACAGTTTTGGTCGGATTTTGAAGATTAAAGTCGGTGGAAATGGTTCTGATGAAGGAATTGTATCCTTTATATTTTTCCTTAATTATGTTTTCTGGATTGTTTATTTGTTACCCCTTTATCTGGTTGCTGAGAAAATGCTGTTTGATCTTGATTTATGTTGTTTTACAGATTTTTACTTGAGGTGGTCGATATTGGATTAACACAAACTTGAGCAAATTATGGTTTTTAATTTTGTTTTCTGTCACAAATTATGGTTAGTTTTGTGAATGAATGTACACTTCTGCACCCTGCATTTCTGGATTTTATTTTTATTTTTGTGGGTTTGAAGGATTAAGCATTTCCTTTTCTTTGCTTGCTGAGGAAAATGAAGAACAATGAACAACAGTAAGGCAAAGTTTCAATCTTTTCTGTTAATCCTGGGGTTTATGTTCTTTATTTGGTATTCAAATTTCAAAGTTTTCTTAGTCGTTACATATTTGGCGAATAAGAACTGATTGCTAATTCAAAGCTTTTATCTTTTTCTCAATATAGCATACATATATATTGTCTATATATATTTATGTATATGTGTACGTGTATCTTTGCTTGTATATATATATATTCTTATTTAATAGTCTGCATATTATATGACTATATGGAATCATGTCTTTATATATAAGCAGAGATTCACAGTCTGGATACGTATGTACGAAATCGTTTGCGAAGAGATTCATGAGAGTTTCGTACTAATTTACTCAGCAAGAAGCACATTGTAGGCTATGCCGCTATGGAGAGTTTTCTCTCACAACTCTTGCTATACAAAAACTAAGTCACCTTTCCATTGAGGTTTCCTTAACTCTTTGTCTTCTTCAATTGGGGATTTGCGTGAAGTCGGATTGTCATGCCCATGTCGTTGGAAGAGGTAAATGCAGTTAACAAGCTTACGATTCTGTGTTCTACTAAAATTCTCAGCCATTAGTTTTGTTTAGTTTTCACTTGTAAAAGAACTCTGGAGTGATTGTTAACAACAGCTTTGAACTGCAGTATCAAGTAGCCCAGACGTACATGGTCATGAAGATGCAGGAACAGAACACGAACAGTACCGAAGGGGTGGAAATAGTAGAGAGTAAATCCTTTGAAGATGATGTATTTGGAAAGGGTCACTACAGCTCTAAAATTTATCGTCTACAAAGGTAAAACCAGTTCAGATTTGTCAGTTTAAGTTGCTATCGCTAAATTGTTTATTTAATGATGTTGAAGTTTATTTCCTCAGTTAAAAAATTACTTGGTACATTATTTGGTTCTGATTTTACCACAGCATTGATACCACCTATGTTCCTACGTATATGGTGGCCGAACTGTTTGTTCACTCTCCTTTCCGTGAAGTGGATCATCTGTTTATACGTTTCATTGAGACATGTATTTTATGAATTCCAAGGTTACTTATTCATTCATCTTCTTATTCCAGCAAAGCTCCTAGTTGGCTTACCACTTTTGCGCCAGCAGATGCTCTCATCATGCAAGAGGAAGCCTGGAATGCACACCCAAGATGCAAGACAGGTTTTCCATTCTTTCTTTAAGTCAATTGTCATGTATCTTATTTTTAAACACACTTCAAACGTATTCTAACTTGGGTTTTGGTTGACTTCAAATGGATGGCCAATGGACAGTAATCAAGGTATTTTTTTTTTTTTTGTCCATCTCTGAAAACAATTGATACTTCATGTATTCTTGGACTTTTTTGAAATTAATGTTTTGGAATTTTGCAGTGCCCGTACTTCACCAAGTTTCAGCTGACCGTCGAAACAGTTAACAGAGCTGACAATGGCCATTCGGATAATGTAAGTTTCTAGAAAAGTTTTGTGTTCTTTTATTTTGTAGCTCTGTTTGCAGCCAAAATTTGGTGATTTACTGTCTTTATCGTCCTCTTTGACACTTTGTTAACTACAACCTAGGTTCATGGTCTAAGCAAAGCACAACTAGCAACCAGGGATGTGGAAACTGTTGATATTGCTTCATCTGCAAAGGATTACTGGAGTCTCATAGTTGGCACTAACAACACCGACTTTTCCCAATTTACATCAACGAAAACTGGACGTGGTCCACTTTTAGAGGGCTGGCAGGTTGGAATAATACGTACCATTAGTTTAATCTTGTATTAATTTATGAATTGTCTATTACTCACTGTGCTTAGTAATGCTTTTTACATGGATATTATGTCTTGCAAAATCGTACTCTCTGATTTGTATTTGACTTGGATTGGATTGTCTTCTAGGTCTAACTGCTAATCTGTTAATTATTTTTCAAAATTTCAGGACACATCGGATCCAGTTATGACAGCCTACAAACTGGTCACCATTGATGCACCATATTGGGGTTTCGGCAATAAACTTGAACGAGCTTTGCTATTGGTAGGCTCTCTTAGATTTGATTATCAGTTATTATTTTTGTTATACGTTACACATCTTTGGGTTATCACAACCATCTTCCATAATACAATAGCTACGCAAATGGCAGCATCACCCAACTAACCATTAAGTTATATTTATAAATAGTTGATTTGTTTTCATAGTTCAGGTTTGTTTTGCAGCAGAATGAGGCAATGTTTACTACTGTTGGAAATAAAAATAATGATACGGAGGAAACAAAGAGATTTTCTTTCTTATTTTCTAAGGAAGGTGCTAAGCGGAGTGAAACGTTAATTTGTTATTGGTTTTCGATTTTACCATGTGTGTGATTATCTTCAGAACGTCCATTCATATTATAAGATCTTGGAGTTTACCTTTTATTATACTTTTAACAGTGTCATTATAATTGGGATACTTTTTATAGGGTGAAAGGGCTCTTTTCCTAGAAAGCCATCGGAATTGCTTTTCTTGGATTGATGAATGGTCCGGAATGACAGTTGAACAGATACGTGAACATGAACGTGAACGACATAGAAACTCAGAGGTATGAAGGTTCTTATAATGCATATCTTTTAACATTCATTAGCTATCCAAAGAAAAAATAAATAAAAAATAAAAAAAAAGAAATCTGCATCAACTTTAAATTGTATAGCTTTACATAAAGTTGCATCTTGTCGATGTGTTGGTGATAGAAAATTACATTTTCATAAGCTGAAGTATATATACACTTCTATTCCCTGTAATTTACTAAAAGATTCAATCTGGGATTCTGGGGCATCTAGCCAATTTGATTAATGTCAACCTTGTAATTTCCAGTTGATCACAAAAATTGGAACTTATAAGGAATTGACAACACAACGTCTATTCCTTATAGTTTCACAACGTGATCGATGTCAATCCTTCTTCTATTTTGTTGTAATTTACTGTAGCCAATTCTATTCAGCTAGTTAGGGCAAAATTGAGCACTGAATTTTACATCAGACAATCTCAGTTTCACTTGAAAGACCAGATTGACATTTCTTAAGAGGGACCAGATTGACACATTAAAATTTAAGATTAAGGTTGTTCAAATAAAATTGAGGGAGCAAATTAGAACTCTAAGCAAACTGGAGAAAGGTAAAGTGTACTTCCGTTTTTCAAATCAATCTTTCATTGTTTCCAGTCATTCATATTAATTTACCAAAAAAAAGTCATTAAAATTTGTAGTTATTGACAATTATCAGCTTTGCTTCGAGTGTGGGTTTTTGTGTGACTGTCTGGTTAGTTTCTGCGAATTCCCCGTCTTCTATGCTTGGAAAATTGCAGACTTTTGTTCTATTTTGGAAACTGAACCTTGCAGTACAAGTCAATGTCCCAATTATACATCATCAGTTCTTAACGTAAGACTGCTTTTTCCATGCTACAGATCCAGGAACTTGGAAGGCCAACTTTGGTGAAGACCCTAGAAGATATCGACCAGAGATTATTACCCGAAAGCGAAGAAATTTTAAGCGGGCAGAGACCTCAACTTTCAACTTAAATCCACTCAGCATGGACTCTGTTGACTTGGAGCAAAATTTTTATACGTATGCTGCATAAACTTGAGAGAATGTATAGCACACTTCATGTAACATACCCAGATAAATTATCAAAGAAAGGAACACCCAGTCACTCAGCTTGGAAAATTTCCGAAAGAATTGTGCATCAAGCATGGTGGAACCGTGGAAGGCACCACATTCATAATTTGATTGCATTCCAAAGTACATGCCACGTTTACAAATAACAAGTTTATATACTGAGAATGCTGCAACATACTTGTGAACTTCATTTGGGGGAGGGTAGTGATTTTTGTACCCCTAGTTTCTACTTCTGCGCGCCTCCCTTGTTTATGCACGTTGATTCTCCTTTGATTTAATCAATCATAAGGCTAGAAACAATGAGAAGGAGTGTAGAACGAGAAAAAGGGAGTGCAAAAATCACTTCCTTCAGAAAAAAAATGTCTTGAGAATCAAATGGTGAACAATAATATCTTGATCCTTTCTTTTATATGAGAAACAAATCATATAAACCATCACAGTCAAATTCACTTGGAGGAGTTGAAACCTCTCCTGAAATTCATAAAATGCGAGTATCAACAAGCAAGTTAACTAGCTCTTCCCACTTCACTCATCGTTTGATTCGTAAGGAAGTTGATTGAGATCCAAGTCTAGTTTTTCAGGAACAGTAGTGATCTCACCGTCTTCTTCAGCCACTGGTGCTACTTCTGCTGTCTCTGGAGCTTCTTCCACCGGCACTCTATTGTTGTGACATCTCTTGTGGCCTCCCAGAGCCTGACCTGTTGAGAACTTGGAGGGGCAGATGTTGCACACAAACTCTTTGGTCTCGTGCTCCACTGCTTCAGCTTCTTCTGCTCTTTCAAGTACTTGGTTACTGGTAGCGCTAGGGCCATTGTAATTTTCTCTTTCAGCATACTTCGCACCAAATTCCTGAGTTTTTCGTGAAATCTGGTAGTGGGTTTGATCATTTAAAGCCGTGTCTTGATGGTTTTTTTACCTGTTTTCGAAACCTCCTTCATCATCGCCTTTTTCAACTTCACCTTCCAACTAGTCTGATCAACATTCTCATCGTCGTTATCGTGATCATCATCATCATCATCATCATAATCATCCACAGAAGCCTTTTCTTTACCTCCAATGCTTAACTTATTTGGCACGAAATTCACACTCTCGGACCTACTTTTCTCCGAATTTTTATTGCCTTTGTATCCACCAGGTGACTTTTCTATTGCCTTCTCCAATGCCGATTCACTAACTTGGTGAGCTGCATATTTACTACTAAACCCGGCTGATTCGTCTACATTCCTGTCACTCAACGTTGCATCTGATCTTGTGACTCTAAACTCTTGAGGCTTCCTTGAAATTTGCTTGTGGGTTTGACCAAACAAGCTGAAATCTTTTTTGGGTTTTGCACCTCCAAAATTTTTACTCCCCTCCTTGGTAATTTTCTTACTACCATCATCAAATTTGATGTTCTTGGATGAAGGCTTACCTTTGTATCCAACTGGTGACTCTTCTATTAGCTTCTTCCGTCCGAATTCGCTAACTTTGTCTTCACCATTAGGATCTCTTTGGTAAGCAATCCTGCGTCTTTGTTCAATATTCCTCCAGTTTACTAAAAAAATTGCTGCATCATTGTCTGTCTCTATGGTGTGATCAGAAAAACTACTATCACCATAACCGTCATCATTGCCGTCATCTTCACCATCATCATCGGAGCCATTTTCGTATGAAGAAGATTTACTTTCTTCGGAAAGAGGCTGAACAGCCCCAGGAGGTCTGACACCCTTCCAGTCTCTTTCGCGATGGAGTCTCATGTGTCCGTGCAAGGATTTGATAGATGGGAAATCCTTTTTGCAAACGTAGCACGAGACTTCACTGCTGCTGCCGCCTTTAGAAGAACCATGTTTCTTCTTCTGCTTAAACAATGCTTTGTTCTTCTGGGGAAGAAGAGACTGATTGAGATGAACCTTTCTGTGACCTCCCAAAGCTTTTCCATTTTGAAATCTCTTCCCACATTGCTCACAAACCCGATCTCCACTTCGATGATGAACATCACTGTCTAGTACTACTTGTTTACCCTTATGATCATCATCGCCACGTAGCGCTACTTGTTCTTCAATCTCTTGTGCATGTACAATCATCATCATCCATGATTTCTTGATCTTCTTCTCCTTCATAATCTTCTTTGAGGTCCTTGTTTTTCTCTTGGAAGTTTTTCATTAAAAAAAAAGAAAACAGTCCAAATTTGTTTTCAGCTAAACTGATAGAGAAGCTTATGAAGAAGAAGAAGCTGGTTGTATAAAAAAAAAACTCCACAATTTTTAGACCCTATCAAAGAGGTTCAAAGCCCTAATTGATTTTCTGTGAGTCCCTGGCCTTTTTTTGTTATTTTTTTTGGAGTGACAGAATCGTCCCGATTAATTAGTGGAAATTAATTAAGATTGATATGGAGTTTAATTTGTGACTCTTGGGGGTTTGGCTGAAATCTGTGATTATGATCCCTCCAATGACGAGTTGTGTCAAGATTAGTATGTTTGAGTATCCGATAAGTTTGCTGTAATTAATCTGCTGGGGTAAAATGGGTAACAAAATATTGTTGGTTAGGGAAGATAACTGTTGGGGTTCAATTGTTCAAATAGGACTTTTTGTTTAATCTTTAATTGGTCAAAGTTTAGTCCTTTCTTTTTTATTTGATGAAAGTTTAGTCCTATTGAAAATTCTAATTTGCTTGACTTTGCTACCAAACCGGATTCTCACCTGCTTTAAGGTCCCACATTGACTCTCCAATCGGATATCTCTTTTCGGTAGCTTGGAGGAATTTTTCAATATGTTTGGAATACGATCATATATACCAAATGTCATATATAATTGGAGTAATGCTTGTATAATATCATATAACCCGTATTTCACTGTTATTGTTTATTCTAATGGACCAAAATTGCGCTCTCTGTCTCAATATAATTCATGAATTTTGTTCTCATGATTGTAATGAGATTCAACAATTATATTGACCTATGCAATCTTGGGGTTTCTGGTGAGCTTGATTTTCAACAAAATGCTTGAAGCCTGCTCATTATTTTGTAAATATGTATCTTAACGCTTTTTGACACACCCCGACCGAAGTTTAGATGTGCTGGACCATCACGTGAGGGTGACGTAGCTAAGTGCGCAACATAAGTGTATATAATAATAAGAAAATGCGAATAAAAATAAAAACCAACTAAAACTTAGTGTAACATTCCACATCGACCAACGGAGGGGGTGATGTGCATTATATATACATGCCCACCTCTATATAGGACGAGACCTTTTGGGAACTCATTAGCTTCGAATTCCATTGGAACTCCGAAGTTAAGCAAGTTCGACAAGAGCATTCTCAAGATAGGATGACCCACTGGGAAGTTCTCGTGTGAGATCCCAGAAACAATCATGAGGGCTTAACTGAGTCCCAAAGCGGACAATATCGTGTAACGGCGGAGTTAGGACTGGGATGTGACACTTTTTTTTTTTTCAATGAATGACATATCATACTTCTTTACTTGAATCAATAGAGTTCGTGTGCAGCTAATCAATAGATTTTTTTTTTTTTTAATCAAACGAATTACGTACTGACATAACATACCAAGACAACATGAAATTAAGGTTATGTAGCCAAAGGAAAAGGTGAACATGTGATTTCATTGGTGGGGTGGATTTGATTTTTCGTCCCTCTAGTGTATCGAAAGAGGGATGGATTGCACATGTGACTACTTCTTTTTGGTAGACAAATTTTTATTAGTAATTTTTTTTAAGTGATTTGGCAATGATGTGTCAGACGTATCGGTAATTAAATGGGCCATTCATGCAACATCAAAGTATTTAACATATTTATATATTGACAGAGCTTCGAACATTTTACAACATTATAAAATGGAAACGATGAGGAAAATAGGCACCTAGAGCAATATGGGTTAATATGCCTAATTGCTGTTATAATCTTTGGGCTAATTTGGTTATATGGAAATCAGATTATGATGATTTATTTTTTAAACAAATAGTTATGTTGCCAAGTAGTCAATCTTTTGTGAAATTGATCCCATTCTCCAATCTCCACAGTCCAGGGGTGATTTTTGTAATATTGATCATCGATGAGTTTATCTCCAGATTCTGAAATAGGTAATTGTTTCTTTTCTTTCTGGTCATGGTTTAGGTAGGAGATACTTATAAACTTGTAGCTTAACTGATTAAGAGCGTTCGTTCTCACATCCAAAATATCCTGTTGTAATTTAAATGAATTTAATGTAAATTATCTTGTAAAAACAAAATCACACCTAATACATCTTTGATTGTTTGGTTGATATAGCAGCACTCAATTATAGGATTAAATTGAAGTCATGATGATTCGCAGAATAGTAAATGCTGGTATCTTCTTTTTATTTATTTTTTTTTTTCATTAATAGAATTGCCGGCATCTTATTAACCATTGAATTTTTTCCTAGAACGTGGTTATTCTAAACTAATTATATATTAATAAAGTTATTTTTGTCAACTAAAAGAGGATGAAAAGACAACTTAATTTCTTCCACAAAATAAAATCATGGGCAATGAAGTTAATACACACAAACTAAATTTTATAGTTCTTTTTAAAAGTCTTACCCAAATGTGATCCTAACATCCTCTATTTAAAAAAAAATGAAAACTTCTTTTCGCAACCATGATTAACCTTAAGCACCGGTGGGGTACCGGCCAAAGGCTATCACAAGTTAGTAAGCAATATAAGACTCGTGAACAAGAAAATAATGAGTATGCGATGATTGCGTTACCAGAGATGACCAGAGATGAACTCTAGATAGGTATATTCATATTAATTAGATGAGAGATCTTTTGGATATAGAATCCGTATTAAACAAGGAGAATCCAAGGGGATGTCTAGGATTAGATATTGTGTCCTCTTAGGAGTGATTAGTTGAGGAGCACGCCAATCTCTAAATTGTAGGAATCTCTGAGAATATAGGAAACTAGTTTGATCCCTAATCGGATCAGGTTTTCGTATCTTTTAGATCCTAAATTGTAGGAATCTCCAAGAATATAAGAAACTAGTCTGATCCCCAATCGAATCAAGTCTTCATGTCTTGCTGAAAAAGAATGGTCAATCTTAGCAAGTCTGGTGAACTTCGCCTATATACCTTTTCCATAGCACAACAGCACGTGGTGGCATCACCGACCCTTTTGAGTAGCTTAACCTGATCAGAGCTATTTAGTTCACAACCCGACTTCTGAAGTACACCTGTTTCGATCCGTCTTACTTCGGGCTTAGAAAATTATGATCCTACAATAACCCCTTTGTTGTGGGCCACTGATCTAACAAAAGTTACAAGTTAAAGGTATACATCACAAATGTTCACCCTTAGATAGTATTCTAGTATATCCAAAGTTTGAGAGAAGCTCTTGAATTTCAATTAATAACGATGATAAGATGATAGTGCTTAAAAGGTTTCAGAATAGCAGTCCTAACTCAAAAGGAAAACAAATAAGAAATTCTTTAGTAGAGCGATATTGTTAGTGGCTTAAATAGTTAATTGTTAGGGAGGAGGGGAACCGGAAAATCACAAACTAACACCAGGATGCATAGACATGATTGTTTCCCGCAACTACGAGAAAAAATTAGTTATTTACTCTTTCTTTTTGTTTGATAAAATACAGTTAGTGAATTACCAAAGAAAATTAATTGGGAGCGCAGTTGCGCTCCCCTAAAATCTAACTAATCAATTAGTAAATCAAGCTATCTATCTACACAAATAGACCTACTATCTAATTCGAAACGTCATCATCCTCCTTAGGAGGTTTGTTGAGATCCAAGTCTAATAATATTCTACGACTTGCAACGTGAATTGTTTTATCAGTCCAAAATTGACTTCCTGGATCTATGATCACACAATCTTCACGATCATCGGCCGATGCAACTTTGATTTTAGCTGAATCTTCATGTCCATCGGTCGATGCAACTTTGTTTTTAGCTGCTCCTGTAGCTTTTAGAACTGGTTCTCCTTTATAGTAGTGAGATCTTTTATGGCCGCCAAGTGCCTGCCCTGTTGGGAACGTCTTGAAGCAAATAGGGCATACATGATGGCCTTTGTAGCCATCTAAGAATTTTCTTTTCTTTGACTTGGGGTACTTGTAGTGCTTGCTTGCAGAATCAATATAACTATCACCGTCCGAGTATTGATCAGCTGAAGATAAGGAAGAAGATGGAGGAGGAGACTGGGCTCTTTGGCGATGCGATCCCATGTGGCCACACAAGGATTTCATTGATGGGAAAGTCTTGTTGCAAACTTGGCATGAGAGTCTACTATTATTCCAAGAAGGGTATTCTAATAACAATTGTTGTTGCTTCACTTTAAACTTCTTGTTGTTCTTTGGACCTAGATGGCGTTGAAAGTGGATGCTTATGTGACCTCCCAAAGCTTGTCCATTCCGAAATCTCATACCGCACTCGCTACATGTTCGACTTCGATCTACTGCCTGGGTTTTATGACCATTATACAGTACTAGTTCTTTACCCTTGGTATCATCAGCACCATTCAGATATTCTCCCAAGATTTTCCGCTGAAAGGTCTTCATGACGAAAAGAATAGGTTCGAATAAGTTGAACCTAAACAAAGTATGCAACTGATTGAAGGCGCGGATGTAGAAATATAGAGAGCATGGAGAAGAATTTGAATACGACTTTGAGGTATAATTTGAATCGTTTTCTGAATGTATTACTTGATCTCTGCTCGAATGAGTTTTGCTAAAAAGTTTGAGAGAGGATGGATATTTATAAGGAAAGGCTACCAGAGTAACGGCCAAATAAACGGCAATCCTTTTTGATTTGGACTGGGATTCGGTGGGTCCATCCACCGATTTTCAAGTTTCCAACTTAAAATAAGAGTGTAGCGTGAGAAAGACAAAAGGTTAAGTTTGGAGAAGACGAACCCGGTTATGTTATATACAACGTGTTTGACCAGATAAAGTCAAAAGGATATTTATAGTAACTACTATCTTTTGGATACGTCTTTATGCAGGAGGCTTGTTTGGATACTTCGGGTAGGAAAGAAATATTTGAGAATCCAATAATAAATGGCTGTTTAATTTGGTTGTGGGTCACGTGTGGGATATGTGAGATTTTTTAGTGTGTCTAGAACACAAGAATAGTACATCATGTATCACTATAACAAGTTGTTTGCATATGTTGGACTAATCCAACACAGGATGAGGCCTCATACAAAGTTATAAAATTACCAATTTTTCTTTTTTGATCTATATAAAATTACCAATTAATCGTAACAAAGATGTTCTCGAGATCGTTAGATGACCAAGAAATGTATGATCATCACTCACCATTGGATTTGATATCAAGGACGGAGAATGAATAAATGCAATTGTAGTGTTTTAATCTTATCCCTTGATGTCGAATTCAAGGATGAGTGACTATGATATCAAGCAAGCTAAATATAAGTAAATGTAAATAACAACCTCATTTTCCTTTTTCCTTTTTCTTTCAAGTCCCTTTCCTTTCCTTTCCTTTCCTGCTTACTTAGATGAATATTGCTGGACCTATGACGATCTCTCATCATGTGTTTTGATGCTTGTGGCCTTCACTAATTGCAGGATCGTTTGATAATCATTTGAGTCTAATTTTCAGTACTTTTTATTTTTTAAGTTTTTGTTATGTCTTTGTTTCTCCCTCCTCTTTCTCACAAACACCACTCTAGCATTCTTCATAGAGTGGTTAGGCAGGTACTATACCGGTACCACACGGATAGGTCACAAAGTCATTCCTTCCGCTACCGACGCCGACAGGTTTCTTTTCTCTTTTTTTTTTTTTCTGTGTTGGACGTCGAATTGGCACTTGACATTTTTTACACAAGGAAAAATCCCAAATCTTTTCTGCTACCAGATTCCTATACACACACACAAATCACACAAACAGGACAGGTAAAAATGTGCCGTTCTCCAAAAATCGTTGCGTTCTTTTAACAAACACCTTCTCCCTACCCAAACCCTAACCCTAGCCCTATTTTCTCACTATCAAAACCCATATCTTCCTCCTTTCTACAGCACCATTCATTCCATACTTCTTCCGCACGCACCATCAAACACAACCACAATTCCTACATTCTCACCACTGTCTACTCCTCAAACCCGGCAACCCTTTCCAATTCCACATATCATAACACCCCAGACACTATAATCAGACATGAGATAAAATGTTGAAATATCCCCTATCGATCGTATCTCTAAGAAATGAAGAGTTTAAATATCTCAATCTCACTCCAACTACATATCATAATTGAAAAGAAATTACATAATCATGCTAAGGCTTGTGACTTCGCCCTAGCAAAGAGAATTAGTTCCACATATTCATAACTGAAAAGCAAAATATTATTAAGATGAAAGTTAAAGGAGAAACACCCCTTTAGAACCTAAAAGCTCTCTAGCCAAGGTCTCCAATACAATACTCTGTGAGAGACCCTAGCAAAACTCGGCTAAATATAACTTGGGTAATCTGGGTAGCTAAAGATTCCCCACGTTTAATGATCAAATCAGCACCAAATTAGGCTCACAAGTTGGTGTTGGAAAAATAAAACCGTACCCTACAATTTTGCAAAGGAACTTTCTCAATAAAATCTTCAATGACTTAAGGGCCAAAAAATCTTAAAATGTCAATTTGGCAACACTGTGCAGTCAGCCTTCATTTAACTGCCATGATCAAACAGCTTAGGGTTGAGAATTTGACACAATCATATTGGAAGACTTGTGAATCCACTTCAGTTAGAATTATTCCAAAATTCCTTCGTTTCATTGCTTTTTGCACAAAGTAGACTTACATTTCCTCTAATTGAAATATATAGCTGTTGATCCTAAAAACTACCAAGCCTACATGGCGCGCATGCCGAGTAACTAATGAGCTAACTACGTCATTCGGTTGATGTGGGGCGTGTTAACTTGTTGGCCGAGCTCGGCCGAGGAGCAAAATTTGTTGATGTTGCGTTGAACGCGCTACTGACTTCTTGATTTTGCAACAGCGACCGACAAAGGAACACGTCTCAGCCTTTGGGCTCTTGAGCCTAAGGATAAGGCTGCTATTTCTGCGAAGTTCACGAATCGTCGGCACTGGGTTCGATCATAGTGATTATATTCGTAAGAGTATAAGCACGTCGAATTGGCTCCAAACTATACGGACACAGGTACTAAAAAAAGATGTATGTCTTGATGGTAAATGTGTTCGGCTGTCAGAATGCCGAACTCTGAAACTTACTTATGAGTATCCAATCATAAAATCACTCGGCGTTCAATGTGTCGAATATAGTAACTTGTAACACCTTACTTTGTCCGAGAAGGCTAATAAGATGACCTTTGCCAATAAGGATGCGGAAACCCTTCTCGACCCAAACTTGGATAGGTAACCAGTCGGCCTCGACACAATGTTGTTTATCTAAATTGAAGGTGCTCCTCGGTCAGCTGATTCTACGGCAACAATGTTGTTTATCCAAACTAAAGATCTTCGCCAGTTGCCTTCACAGTGCTGTTATCCAAACTGAAGATATGTTGGTGGAAGGAGAAAATAAAAAAATCTTAAGATGTTTGAGAGGTTTGCACAGGGCAGTTGTGTATTGAATTGGAGGGGGCTTCGAATGATGCATTCCCCTTCTATTTATAGCGACCAATCCCACCTTAGCCGAATCAGAACTATATTCGAATTAGGATTCTTCGTCCTAGTCCTATAGGGCTCGGCCAATCCTACTCCTACTAGGACTTTGAACCAAACTTGCTATCCAGCCACCTTCACTTCTCAAATCTCAGTGTCCTTACTCCATTGAGACCCCTTATTATACTAGGACTTCAACCCATCCGCTCTTATCCAAATCACTCCTTCTTGCAATAGGACTCGGCCGCCCTAACTGAGCAACTTATGACCACTAGACAGCCCATAGTACATTTGGAAAAGTTTTGGGCTGTCACAAACCTACACTCGGCCCAATAATATTATTTTGGGCCCAAACAATAGCAGAGTATCAAAATTATCTCAAAATAAAAATAAATTATAACTAAGATAAGAGTATTTCCTGTAATTGAAATACATAGCAAGGTATCGTGAAAAAAAATAAATATATATATAGCAAAGTATCAAAATCATCTCAAAATAAAAATAAATTATAATTAAGATAAGAGTAAAGTTACAGAATAATATCAACTCATCACTCCCACAACCAACATTGAAGAGAGTTTTTTAGCTCCCACGATGTTTGCCATTAGAACAGGGCAAATCCATGCTCTAATACCAATTGACTCAGCATAAGGATTACAATCATGAAGAACAAAGATTTTTGGAATCCACTAGAAAGGGAGATAAAACCGAAAGATTGTTTTATTTCTGAATTGATGAATTACATAAATACATAAACATAGCCCCTGGGGATGCTAAAGGGTTCTTAAGAAATTAAACAACATAAATTCGGACGGAAATTGAAAAAGTACAAAATTTATTACAAATTTTTATTTGCGGTTTTGGAAGCCTACTATCTACAACTTTGCCGTCGTCCTCATTTTCTGTTGAACTGGCTGTGAATATGCAAGCAGCTCCTTATTGTTTTCAATTTTGGCCAAGTCTTCTTCCTTGAGAGTCAAGATCACTTCCATGCCATCACCATCTCTTGTATCCATGAACTTTATCGCATTCTTGATATCTGCACTGCTAATAAAGACCCATAACGGCTTTCCCCATCCAAAATCGGCTGAATAAAAGGGCAACCTGCACATACTGCTGCAACTATAGGTCTCTATATCATCCCTCCTTAAGAGGTTTCCATACTCTTTGAAGATTTCAAATGCTTCTTCCCCACTAATTCCGTTGCCAAAGTTTTCTTTAAATTCCTCCATGCCTTTCCTCAATAAAGCAACCAAGGTTAGAAGATCTTGATTATCAATATCTAGTTGTGTCTTTGTCATAGACAACCCCACAAGACTTCCCAGTAAGTATTTGTCCGCCAAGGGCTTAGCTAATATTTCACGCATATTCACCGCTTGGCACCAGACGGAGGTCTTCATAAAACCCGAGTTTGATATTGATGCTTCCATTGCGCATTTCCAAATGAGGGCGGACACAACTTCAATGCGTGAAGGATTTGGCACGGTGGAGCTAGCAGATTTGGACTTGAGAGCAGCAATCTCTGAGGCACCAAACAGAAATCTCCTTGTCATACACTTTTCTTTTGCATATTCCACGACGGGGTGGTGTGTGTTTAGGAAATCTAGTGGAAATCTCCTTGTCATACACTTTTCTTTTGCATATTCCACGACGGGGTGGTGTGTGTTTAGGAAATCTAGTGGAGGGAAGAGCGAAGCTGGGACACCAAACATTTTTGGAGCGGGAAACTTCACCACCTCTTGATTATCACCAGTAGTAGTACTACTGACGACTGATGAGCCAAAGGCAAATGCAGCCCAAGTATTAATGAATGTGCTGCCTGTAATGGCGTCGGCGACCTTGTGAGAAATACTGGCCCCGATTGCTACCCCACCGCGTTCAAAGAAGCTGACCTGGACTAGTACAAGATTGCCTGATCCTGCAGCTCTTGCTAATCCCATATGCTCAGCTGGAAGAAGTTGCTTAAATAGCATTTGATGAGCATCCGGGTTGTCCAAAATCTTTGATATCGGACAGTTGACTTGGGCTTCAAGAAACTCAGCCCCACGGTCATTGCAACCGATTGAATCATTATATTGGAATTGGCCTGCCCAGGGATAAAAGAGAGTTAGAGTTTTAGATAATGATGTTTTTAGAATATTGGATATTTCAGCAGAAGGGACTGAAGAATTATGGTGTCGATGGAAGAACAGAAGCGGAACGTAAACATCGGAAGCAATCTGATCAAAGACAGAAAGTTTGAGGATTTTGAAGTGGCGAGGAGTTGGTGAGGATGGTTTAATTGTTTCCTTGTGGATGATTTCAACCTTGATCTCTGAAGTGGTCATCTTTTAGTTGCTCCCACACAACTTGAGTTCCATAACCTAATAAGCACTCCCTTTTATAAAAACAGAAGTACAGCTAGTTCCTTCGAACTTCGGAGTTTGAGTCTTTATTGATTAGTTTATTTGTATGATTGTATCTTTATTTTTTTATTTTTTCAGTATAAATTGAATGTGTATTAACTGGAGGCTAACCACTCTACATAATTATTAATTTGTTTGTTTATTGCAAATTGCGGGAAGCATGCTTTCACCAGTTTCAGTGAGATCCCCATGACTCCAGCAATCTCTCCTAAATTGATCCAAGAATGGTCAACTGTATAGTTTTATACAAGCAAAAAAGCCCACGCAATGTCGCGGGTTTACAACTCTAGTTACACATAATTACAACAATGTTTTCAATTCTACTACTACATATGTACAACCATACTCACAATCCTATTTACAGATATACTAATCAGTATTTAAAACTATGTTAAATGGGGGGAGTTTTACCTCAGTACAAAACTTGATAAAATTAAACAAATTCTCATGTCATTGGTCACTTTGACCCCTGCTCTTATAAAATGAGCTGAATGTTGCACATGGAAATCGACTGTTCATGTGCAGCATTCAGCTCATTTTATAAGAGCAGGGGTCAAAGTGACCAATGACATGAGAATTTGTTTAGTTTTATCAAGTTTTGTACTGAGATAAAACTCCCCCTATTTAACATAGTTTTAAATACTAATTAGTATATCTGTAAATAGGATTGTGAGTACAGTTGTATATATGTAGTAGTAGAATTATAAATAGGATTGTAAGTATGGTTGTTTAATTTTATCAAGTTTTGTAGGGTTAAAATATGTTAGTGACAAAAGAGGAGGAAAAAAAAGGGGAAAGGAAATGCATGTCTCTAGAAGGTTTATTTCTCCTTTTACCAGTCCCGCATCACTATCCCCTGCTCACATCATCAGAAGGGGATGTCAAAGCGGGCATCATTCCTAAACAATTACAAAATATGTTAGTTAAAAAATAAATTAATTATAACATATAATAAGCTGGGATTAATTTATGTTATAATTAATTTGTCATGTACGTACATAAGATACGTATAACCCATATCTCAAACCCTCTGATAAAAAAAACCCATTTCTCAATCCTAATTAGGGGATTTCAGCCCGTATTTCATGAGCAAGTTTTAGGTTCGATTTTTGGTACTTGTGAATTACGCGATAATGGTCAAGAAAAGGCTGAAATGCTTATGTGAGTCTTCCTAATAGAATGGTGGACTACTGTGATGAAGCCATTGGCTAATCGTTTTTAAGAAAAAAAAATATCCCAATTAATTTAAACATATAATCTATTTAGTGAACATTATTTAATTTCACCCACCATAATATAACCTTCTCATCCAACAAAACAAAAATCTAATCATTTATTTATGCAATTATAACATAATAATCTGCTGAGCAATACACATCATAGTGCCCACTGCCCACATACACTGAAAACAACATAACAACTTAGGGTACCGCGGCAAAGAAATCTTTTTACTGGCTAGGATCTAACTTAGGGTTAGGGTACGACTGGGAACAAGGGGAAATAATGCAGGTAAGTCTGTCTATGAATTATATCTTTTAAGATTTGCAGTGGGAGAGAAAATAATCTGGGTGAAGCAATAGGAATGGGGTGTGATAATGCCACTCTAAACTTTTCTTTAACATATAATTTGTGAATCTGTTATTAATTAACAAAATAATTAACTCCCACTTAAAAGCTTCGAATGATATAGGTGTATTATTTATCATATTTTCATGTTAATTATCCTAAATTTTGTTAAGGAATTGATTATAAAAGAGCATAATTTTCCTTTTCTCAGTTTCAGCCATTCTGAGCACTTATAACATTTTTGGTGATAATTCAACTTTCCGGAGGAGTTTTGATGCAAAGCCAATTGGAGAAGGGAGCTAAGAGGCTAAAGACTGTTTTATCCGATTTTCATAATTTTCCATGGAGCCATTCATTCCAGTTTTACAAATCAATCCCGCAGAAGTTGTTTTCCTGTTAGAATTGTGCAGCTATGGGAGAATGAAGATTTGAAGGCTTTCCCGATTTTTCCTAGTAGAGTGCAATATATGCTTGGAAAGATAAGAGATAAAACTACGTTTTCCATATTTTTACAGAATTTTTCAGAAGATAAATCGACCGTAAAACTAGCGTGCAACACAGATGACATGTTTCCCAAGCCAAGAAGGATTATTTCCTAGTTTGTGTCATTAATTGTTTAGGAGTTTGTTTTATTTAGGAAAGTTTCTCCCAGACCTTTTAGGGTTTTTCTAGTATAAATAAGGTACCCTAAGCTCTCTCTAGAGGATCCTGACATCACCCCACATCCATACCATCATTTACCATCTCCGCAATTAGTGAAGAAGAGTTTAGGGACGTACTTTGTCATGGATTCTAGGTTCTATCTTTCTTTTATTTTTATTTCTATGTGTAACTAAGTTTTTTTTCTAAGGTTTATGATAAGGCCATGACATGAATATTTGCAAAGTATTTTGTTAATTATTATCCGATTATATGCCATGTTATATTCTTAATCTTTGTGGGTATTTTATTCTAGATTCAGATTTCTAATGACTAAACACCTTTAGTAATTTTGCATCTAGATATTTAGATAAATCTATGAGGATGACCAATCAATTAGGTTTTTTGGAACTAAGATTAAGAAGAGTAGACAAACTAGTGAGGATGACCAATATCAAGCTAATCCTACTTGGTTGACATGATTCTTCTACACTTAATGTTCTACACTTAATGGGTTTTTATGTGTTTAATTGTATGCCTAACCTGTATGATATAATTATCATATAGATATACAAGAATTGATGTCTGACCACGGATTAATTCATACTTATAAGAACAACCTTTAACATTGGCATTATAATTGGATAGTAGTTGGCTCTAGGAAAAATAAATAGGATTGTTATTGGCGAATTCATAACCTTAGATTTTCTCGTGTGTGATTTTAATTAATTGTATTTTCTTTTTCTTGTTAATTTTAGTCTAAATCAATTACTCAATTATTCAACTCAATCTATCTTTTGTTTGTTTAATTAAGTCTTGCATGATTAATCGGTTAAATTGGTGTTAAAGTAATCCCTATGGGATCGACCTCGTATCTGCATATATTACTACAATTGATTCGTGCGCTTGAGAGTTCAATTTGGTTTAAATTAATCTATTATTTAGGTTAATTTAAATATACATCATTGACCATATCTTTCTAACCTACCAACTGGATGCAGCTACACCCCAGACTTGACATATTTCTTGAAGTGAAAAAACACATCAATTTACCCCTAAACTTTAGTAATGTGCATTTGTATCACCCCCAATGTTCAAAAGATTAGTCGAACGTGACCATACCTCATTTTTCCGATAAAAATTAAGAGGGCCAAAAGAAACAACTAACTAGGAACTATTCAAAAGTCTACTTATTGCATGACTTGGTGACAACTCATGTATTTCATACATTTATACCATTCATTCCTAGTCCCTTTGTGATATTTTTGAGTTAAACTAGTTGCATTTTACCCTCTTTTGTGTTAGTGTGCAACTAATCGTATTTTGAAGCTCAGTTAAGGACAAATAAGGCAAAATGGTACTAAAAGTGGAGAATTGAATAAGGATACTGATGTAGACAAAGAATTAAAAGTGGAAACTGAATATGGTGATGAATATGACTCTTTATAAGACTAATAACAGCAAAAAACGTGGGAAGCCCAATTATTGGGATGTATTGGCAATCTGTAACAGCCTCTTTAACCTTATAAAACTAAGAATTTCAGCCACTTTTACATAAGCTTCCCCTTGGCGACACCCATAGCTCTCTCTCTTCTCTTTCTTTGGCCTTCCTTCCAAAAACAAAATCCTTTCTCCATTCACCATCCGCAGCCGCGCTGTTCTTGGAGAAGTTCAACATCAGAATTGCTTCAAAAGGTTTCTTGTATGAACTTTAATTTCACTCATATTGTTCTTGATATTTATATATTTTGTATTCATGTTGTGTAATTAAGTTCATAGCTGGGGATTTCGATGTAGCCTTGCAAAATTATTCTATGTTATTAAGTTAAAGTATTTGATTCATCAATCTGTTTTCATGTTTCATTCACTAATTTATAGTATAATTTGTTTGTTAATCTTAATGTTTGATCACTATTAGGGCTGCTTATGAATTATTTGATCAGGGTTATAGTACACATCATGCGTAATCTTGGTAAACGTGTGAATGAATGAATGAAGAAACGGCTATGCATACATCTTGCCATGTGATTTCTTTAGTTCTTTGAAGTTTTCTTGTTCTTAATGGATTCTTATTTGGTAATCTAAGTTGAACATCACAACTAGGTTGCAGATTAAGAGTACTTGATCACAACCACACATCAAATGGATGATCATAAATAAGTAAAACGAACCCTAGTTGCAGATTGGAGAGTTGAATGCGTTTTGACTTAATTTTCATGGAATTGACTTGTAATGGCAAAATTGGTATCCCTAACTCATTTCCATCATTTCTGAATCATTATATTATTCATATTTACATTCTCTTGCATTTTAGGTTACTTTACTTCTCAAATCAAAATCAAAACTCAATTTGTTAGTTTCATTGTTTAGTTAAGGTTCATATAAAGCTAGTAATTTGTAGAGGTCTAATCAGTCCATGTGGTTCGACACCCTTGCTTGTGCCATTATACTATCATTATATTTGCACTTGAAAGAAACACAACAAAATTTTGCCGCCATTGCCAGGGACTGATTTCAGTCCCCTATAATTGCTTGCTTTATAAACCTTATCTGTTTTTCTGTTCTTAGTTTAGATTTTTAATTTACATTTTAGGTTGTTTGATTTCAGGTGGTATACAAAGATGCATGGCGAATGTCCGTTATGTGCTAAAATTGGTCATCCTCTTCAATTCTGCCCAAGGAGAGATGAGTTTCCTATATTTGTCTGAGAGCACTCACACTGCATGTGTTTCTTTAACCAAGGGCCACTGCAACCATTGCCAAATACATACAGCCCCGCTTGGAGAAACTCTCATCATGACTCTTGGAACAACATACAAGCTCCAAATCAAGCATTTACACCTCCATCATAGCAAGAATCCTTTGACACTACATTGGATGACACTTTGAAGCTACTTGCTCAAGACAATTTGCAATTTCAACAATCAACGAGTTGTATTATTCAGAACTACTCTTTAGCACTAACTAAGTTGACAATTCAAGTGGGTCAGATTGTCCAAGCTATAA